TGCAAAAAGAAAATGTCATGCGTATGTGAGTAATCTGGTTCCTACCACGTGTAGCTATATCCCGCCATATTGGTTTTACATATAGACTGGGCTCTCTGGTGTGATGTAACCACAATGATATACTCCATTACGCCATGTAGAAAAAAAGGCAAAAGCACGAATATAGTATGTGAGGAACCCTTTACATATGAACAAACTGATGTTTACATATAACAATGGTTGAATAACGAACCACATGAAGTTAGTTATCAAGCCCAACCTCTTGTAACAAAACATGGTATTGTATGTGTAGTATTTCTATTTTAATTTATCAGTACATGTGTTTTTCACAAAAGGATATCAAAGGATCTACGCAGACATGCATACATAACCTATCCACCAGTGTTGAAAAATAAACACGAAAACTTGACTTATTGTGGTATGAGCGCACTGATATGTTGATCTGTTCAACAAGCCTCTAAATTAACGTAGACTCTATGAATTGAAATTATTTCATTAAAAAGGTCCCTGGCTTTTGATACATGATCAGAAGGGCCATGTAGAGAGTCTGCTTTTGCACCTCTTTGCGGCGGCTGGCACCGGTCTGAAGAAATCTGAACTTGCAAAACAATTATAGACTTTCATGAGGCTATTTTGGATTGTTGTGCATCAAGGCTTAATGTCTGAAAATATATTATTTTGATAGAAACAAGCAAATTAATTGAAATTGAAAAGGAAGGCTAGTAAGATTGAAATTTCAACCTTAAACAGTGGGAAATCTGGGCTTGCTTCTTTTAGGGCTATACCTTACAGTAAGCTCTAGGCGGAAGGGAAAATAATATGGTCCAGGGACTGTGAGACAGACTAGCAAGCTGAGGTCAGTCCTGATATTTAGAGCTGAGCAAATCGAACCCTCTGAGACAGTGACTCTACACCTGTTTGCACCCATCAGATACCAGTCAGTACTGTCACTACTTCTCTTTTCCACAGAAAATTAAAATGACAACTGTCGGATGTGTATATTTCTAAACCTACAAAATTACTATTTAGATGCATGTTTCAAGTTCAAAGTGACTAATGTACCTTGTGTACAAGAAAGTAATATTCATATGTGTAATGCTAGTACAATTTTGTGTCGTCATTGTGGATCATTTGTTGGGTTAATATGAATATCAAATCACAAGAACACATACTTTTTAAAAACAGACGATTTGTGTGTTGGTAATGCTTTAATCTCAATATTAACAACCCCGAAAGAAAAAAAACCCCTTTATTACACCACTGTGCCCTAGCTTGTTCTGTAATGCCAACAGTCCAAACTCGAGACTCAGCAAGATATCCGATTACACTGGCCAAGGCTGACCCTAGCGGAATTCCCTCTCCCAGTCGGTTCTCCATGCGATACTCACATCGTCTGTCTCCCAGACACAAAGAGAATAAATTGACTCCAACTCTAGTCAAGAACGATTTGGCAAGTCAAGATTGCCTCAGTTCTGGCCAAGAAATCAAGCATCGTTATGGGCTTCATTTGGATTCTATTAAGTAGATTTTTAAATTTAACTACGAAAATTGTAATTCTGGAACTAAATGTTCTTCCACTGACACCGGTACATTCCCATAATGAAGTTATTATCAATTAGAATATCGAATTGTTGTGGATTGTCTGGATATCATAGATAACACTATCTCCTAATCAATTACTTGTATGTACAATCCAAATAATAGACACCTTCAGTCTGGAGTGTTGTGAAAAAGTAACTGTTTACACCAACATTACATCGTCGGCTTCATAATAATATTGCACAGATCACTGTATAAGGTTTCAGGTAAGTGTCGTGTGCAAATCGTCACAGTCTAAATAACTTATATACGTGAGCGACAACTTGGTCTTGGGATAATTTGGTATCATTCATTTGTCAAAATCATCTGAAGAAAGCTGTTATAAATATTAGTTTTTTTGTGTGTATCTTTGGTGTCAAATTGTATATGGTGGGTGACAGTGAGGTATGTGCCCGATGTGTATTGTATCGCTCAAGTAGGAAGTCTGAGTTGCCTCACACAGTCAGCTTTTACCAATGCTTTCCTACATAATGTTCTGACAACAGTAAAGACAAGCACATGTGGAAGAGGCTTTAACACTCTACTTTTACATTTAATTGCGCTGAGATAATAATAATTCATTTGCCATCATCTAAAGAGAACTGTCATCAATAATTTGTTTTGAGTTATTTCTTTGGTGTCAAATGGTATAAGATGGGTGACAATGAGGTATGTGTCCGATGTTTAGCGTATCTTAAGTAGGAAGCCTAGGTTGCCTGGTCATTTTGATATCTAGAAGTAGGTTGTCAACAGTTTTCACATTGATCACACTTCACACCATGTCACCCGCGATGTATCTAGGTCTGTTCAGAAGCTGATATACTTGTTCTTCACTGATAAGATGGCCTATCAAGTAAAAGAGGTTTTAATGTTTACTTTTAAATTATTGAATTGGCTTGGGATAATTTTGTGTAATAAGAGAGCCTTTCAAGTGAAAGAGGTTTCAATGCTTACTTTTACGTTACTGAAATACGTTTGAAGTTGTAAAACTATCAGGTTTCTATACCAATTTTGAACAAAATCATTTGTTTTCAAACTGCCTGCCTAGAGCACAGTGTTTTGGCTTCCAGTGTTTTAGCTCACCGGGTCCGAAGGACCAAATTGAGCTTATGCCATACCGTGGCGTCCGTTTTCCATCCGTCGTCCGTACGTCAATCAATTATTCAAACAACTTCTTCTTCTGAACCACTAATTGGAAATTAATGAAATTTGACTGGAAGCATCCCTAGCTGGTGGGGATTCAAAATTCTACAAATGGTGGGGCTGACCCCCCAAGGGGCTGAGGAGCGGCGCCAAATAGGGTTAATTTGGCTATGTTGCTTTAAGCGACTTCTTCTCTGGAACTAAGAAATATATATCAACCATATTTGGTTGGAAGCATTCTCTCGTGGTGAAGATTTGAAATTATACAAATGGTGGGGCTGACCCCCCAAGGGGCTGAGGGGCGGGGCGAAATAGGGGTAATTTGGCATTATTGCTTTAAACGACTCTGGTACTAAGAGATAGATATCGACCATATTTGGTTGGAAGCATTCTCCAATAGTGGAGATTCAAAGTGGAGAAATGGAGGGGCTGAACCCAATTCCCACTCCCAACCCCTGGGGACTGAGGGATGGGGCTTAAAAGGTAATTTCACAATATTGCTTTAAACGACTTCTTCTCTTGATCTAAGAGATAGACATCAACCATATTTGGTTGGAAGTATTCTCAGGTGGTGGGCAGATCTTGACCATAACATGCAAACCGATATTATCCCAAACTTTAATAAACAGTATACATTTGTTTGTTATGAAGAGAATAATACATTTATGCCAATATGATTCGCCCTGGGGTCCAGCCTTGCCTCTAGAAACTTAGATCCTGGATCACATCATCGAAACGGTTCAGATATTTATGATACATTTGTATCTAGAGAAATACTCGTTCATGCTGTCAGATTTGCCATCCACATTTGTATCTAGAGAAATACTCGTTCATACTGTCAGATTTGCCATCCACCTATTGTAAATGCTGACAAAGTTACGAAATAATTGCTGAATTGTATACATGTACAATGCAAATGTATATTTTGTCATGATTGTGTAAATGTCCAGGTGAGTGATACAGGCCCCAAGGGCCTCTAGTACATTTGTTACAAGTCTATCAAAACAGTGGCACATTTGGCAAACGAGTATTGATCTAACCTCAGTGAGACAAGTCAGAGTTGCACAAATTGTAAGCTAATCGCTTCACGGGCATTTAATTGTTTAACCCCTAAAGTAATTCGACAAATCTACAAAGCAAGCCAGTCCTTCTGATATATAGCAAACAAAGCAATCCTCATTAAGGCTACTTCATTTGGTTTACCAGGTAGTTTCAATATCTGCTGAAACAAGTTGTCACATCGTAGACCAAAGTTATTCATATTTCTACATTTGTAACAAATGCCCCAACGCTCAACTCAAATGTCCTAAAAGGTAAGGTCTGTTTAGTACAAATGTCCCAAAGAAGCATCTCAGCAACTGAGTCACTGCCCTGTATAGATCTTAGTGAAATGTTTTTTGAATGTTTCTATGTGAAGTCTAAGAATAAAAAATGGTGACCTTTGCCAAATCCAGTACAGTGTAAAGCCTGTTATATCTAGGTATTATTTTGCGTCAGTGTGAAACAATTAAGAACGACGAGCATCTTAGGCTGATATGGTTTGATATGGCACAGTCATATGAAAATGCGAGTTCGTACTTACACTGTTTAAAACAACATTGTGTTCCATCAGGGCATGTCAAAAGTGTATCAGGTCATAGAAATTTGTTGCATTGAAAAGATTGTTCAGACACTGTTTGATACGGCGCTCTGTGTTATCCATCAAATCGTCTTAGCAGGTTCGAAGGTAGTTCCGTCCAGGTCTATTGGATAACATGAGACCATTAACTCAGATTCCGGGTCCAATGAATTATTTTTCCCAAAGTTACTTCCCCTGCTGCATGGTTGTCGATTTTGAGCACAGTTACACAGTTACGGCCTTTGAGTCATGTTGTTTTACAAAGTGCATAGTGTCTGCAATGGGGACAAGTTTTCTTAAAAACTACTGATCTTAGCTTATCTAAGAGATACTTATCAAGATTTAATTTGAGAATCGTAGCCATGAATTATTTGCTGCCTTTTGTGTATATTAAATTCACATTTAATCATTTAATTGGAAGGGGGTACTGGGATTTTGTATTGAGACAAGATTTGGTATTGAGACTTAGATGGGTTTTTTTCAGCTACAGCTGCAAAACACATATGACCCTTAAAAATCCCATCCAAACGTTCCTCCACATTAGGCTGACACGCCATAATATCACTTGAATATTGTTTAAGGCGGTGTTAAATACAACTTACTCACTCACTTACTTACTCATGACTGGGGGTAGCGATAACGCTTCTTTTATCTCCTTTAGGATGTGGTGAAGACTACACAGACCCATCTGGCTCGATCTCCTCACCAAACTACCCTGGCAATTACGGCAACTATCTGATTTGCGTCTACACCATTGATGCAGGAGAGACATTGGTCACACTCGTGTTTACAAATTTCAGTACAGAGCATTGGCATGATGTTGTCAAGGTATGTAAACATTGTGCTACACAGTTACAGGAGACAGAGTACTACAAGAGAAATGGTGTAACAACTCATTTAACCATGTCAGTATCGGGTGTGACCACCATTTGCATTGCCGGGTGCATTGAAGACACCAGATGATCAAAAGAATAAGAAAAATACAACATCCGTACAAAGAGAGATACAGTGCTGGGTCAAGCAAATGCACCACCAAATCCCTGTCTCAATGCTTAACCATGATCTTTAATACAATCAAGGAAGGATTTTCTTTATATTCACAGAAAGTATTTGAGACAAGTGGAAATAATACCATGTGGATTCTCAAAAACTCAAACGATTTGCTTGACTTTTTTTACAGTCTCGGAAAAGAACCAGCTTCAATTCTGTCAAAACATTTGATTTTTCAAATTTGTTCACAACTAAACCACATGAGAAACTTAAGGGAAAGCTTATTTCCTTAATCCATGTTCAGAGCTCGAAGACATTTTAACAATACCTGATGAAAATACTTTTATCTCTCTCAACAAATTACTTGAGTAAATGAGTATTCTTAGATGATGTGATAAGGGAGATGAGGACGTGCTATCTGATGTTGTGACGAGGAACATTGTTTGTATCTGATTATACCTTGCATAACTGAGAGAAGCCATCTATACATTAATTTCTATAATCCAACTGATTGTGTAAACATATTTGGTCAAATGTTGTAATTGTAGATGGTTGTTTTGGTGTTTTGAGGATGGGTACAGTATGTCATAATAGTTTAATCCATTTGAACGTATTCAATGTTTGGTTTATGTTCAACAATAGTTGTTACCTTATAGAAAAAATATATTGCCATGTCCAAATAATTATTTTTTCAACAGTTATAATATATATAAACTATAGCATATGACATACTTGTTCTTTCATAGAATGTTTGTCTTTAAAACCTTTGTTTTGATATTGGGTATTAATATTATTAAGTTCAGGTAATCTATTTGAATTCTGATGACAATAGTAATGACACATGTAAGGGTCATGCTTGTTATCACTGTAAGGGTGTGGGTTTTATTCAATCCGAATGTGCTTGCAGTTAATTGGTTGACAAATAGGGATTTAGGCAAAAGGGATTAAACCCTCCATTTATTAATTGCAGGTTTACGATGTCTCCAACAACCTTCTTGCAACATTAAGTGGAGACAGACATGGCTACATTGTCCAATCAGCTGTCTACTACCGTGTTGTGTTTACTACGAATCCCTGGACTGTTGGGAAGGGATTTCGGGCTGTATGGACAGGTATGTGGATGTGTACTATGATATTTTGTTTACTTTGTAATTTGTCTCCTTTCATTTCTCTTCTTTATCACCTTACAGTTGACAGCATGATTGTTGTCGTGGTCGTGGCTGTAGGCATGTTCTGTAAAGATATGCTGTATGTTGTGTTTGTTTCCTATCTTTGGCAACCTGCTGACAAAGGGCACCTTAGATTACAGTGGATCGTCAGCATGCTCACTTTATGGACGTCTCTTTTTAGAACATGCTTTTGTCAGACAGGACTGATGTTAGTCTCTCTGTGAAGAAATGTACAGCCCTGCTTTCCCAGAACTACTTACTTGTCAAAGCGTCTAACAGGCAGCTTAGATTGCATACTCCCCCGGGAACTGAGAATGATTATTGAGAGCCCACTGATCCAGTGATTTGGGTAAAACTAGCGGTTTGAGCATGACACTGTGTGGTGTAGAAATATGCACAATATAAACGGCCTATTGTTATAAGGAAATCCAAAAGGGCTCATGGATCCACAGTAGAAGACATTATAGATAACACACAAAGAACACAGCCTTGGTGGAGCTTAGTTAAATGGTATGTCAAAACGCGTTCTGATGGTCAATCTTTTCCCGCTATTGTACGTAATGCTATAAATTATGATGATACTCAGTGTATCGTCAAAGTCCTGAAAGGATTCTTATCAGAACAATCAAAGTATGAAATCTGTGTTCAGATCTTATGATTATCAAATCATGCAAAATTGATAATCCACCGAAGTCAATCAGCAATAATAAAGCTCGTGGTATTCTTGTATCTGTAGACACATCTAAAGCAACCGGTCCTGATGGAACTGGGGACAGATTAATGGAATGGACAGCAAACTGTATCGCTCAGAAACTAGCAAAAGCATTTAACAAGTCACTCCCAAGACAAAACAATTACGCTATCATGGAAAGGAGCATTAAATACTCCACTCTATAAGAAATGATGTAGATGATCCTTACAAGCTGCTTTCCAAAGATGTTTTGAGAAATATATATTTATAATCATAATCAGCGATAACAATATTTTGATAAACTTACAATCAGCATTTATGCCCGGCGATTTAATGGCAAATCAGCTCACAGGCATAACTTCATCACTGCGGCTTCAGATGAGGGAAAATAAATGAGTCATGTTGTGTGACATAAGAAAAGACTTTGATAGGGTATGACATAATGGTATTGTCCATAAGAAATGCCCACCACATACAGGGTGCTTTATCAAATTAATTCTAAAGTTACATAAACACTAAAGCTCAGAGTGTTGGTTTAGTGTTATACCTCAGAATTAACGTCTGTACAAGCTCCTGTACCTCAGGGATCTGCGCTAGGACCACTGCTGCTTATCGTTTATATCAATGATATTGTTGAAGGAATATATAGCAACATACACCTTTTTACTGATGATTCATCAATATATGTTATTACAGGTGATTCATTAACGGCAGTCAAATGTAATAATAACGATTTGGTTGAAAATTCAAACTGGGCCAACAAATGGAAAGAGGCAAGAAAACTAAAGCTATAACATCACCCGTAAAGTCTATCCCGGTAAAGGGCCGAAAAGTCATATGGTAACCATACTCCCACTAATTTTATAATTTTATATATTTCTGTTTCCTGCTCAGATGTAAAGTACAACTCAAACACCCTTTCTTAAGTATTGTTTTTACACTAGCAGGCCTGCCAATGAAAAACCAGCAGAGAGAAAACAAGTTATGGAATATATACACATTTTATTTAGAAATAGCCACACAAATCACAAATTACAATGATTAAAACATGCCACATTTTCAACGGAGACCACAACAAACCAAATGCATACACTCTCGGTGTGTTGCGATCTGTTCTATTAACTGTGTCATTTTCCATTGAAAATGTGACAAGTTTTAATTATTATGATGCACACTTTATGTGTCGTGTTTGTAATTTGTTAGGCTGTGTCCATTTAAAGTGTGGACGTATTCCATAGTTTGGTTGCTCTCTGCAGGTTTTCATTGGTTAGGCCTAGCTATTAAACCTATGTTTTATATAAATCTCTTCTGTATCATCCTTATACTACTTCCTCTTTAATTCTAAAATGTTATATGTCTTTACTATGTCCTTACTATACTAAGAATCAATCGTCAGTAGACTAAAGTAAAAGACTGATGTCACATTTTGTTAGCACCCCTGTCGAAGTACTTGGCCTGCTTAGGTGAAGCACCGTGGTCCAGGATACAAGGCGATCTGGACTCTATGATTTTTAGGCTACAACTAAATATTGCATAATTTTGATGAGGACAATGGTGATGAAAACAAGACATTCCACAGTTTTCGTAAACGAGCCAAGGATAAGGGACATAATCTCAATGTCAGTGTGGTTTTGTGGCTGGACGGTACAGAAATGAGTGACAAACAAGTGAAGTGCCATATCAAATCGGCCCAGACCACTGCATCGAGTTTATGTGCAGTGTGTTGAGAAGATCACCAACCCTGCAGAGTCCTTTGCTTGGATGAAGTCGGATGGCTTTAAAAATGAAACAGAAGGCTTTATGTTTGCTGCTCAGGACCAGTCACTTCCCACTCGAAACCAATGTAAATATGAAATGTCTAATAAATTTAATAAGACCGACCAACACATTGTCAGTGGATGCCCAGCTTTGGCCCCAACAGAGTATCTTAACTGACATGATGGTGTTGCTCGATCATTTTATTACCATCTTTGTCATTTTTGTGGATTTGACGCAGAAGTCCATCCATGGTACGACCCAGAATATGTAGAGGGCGTCATGAAAAATGATAAATAAAAAAATTCTTTGGAATATGCCCATTTACAGCCTCAGACGTATCCAGGCCAAAACACCTTATCTTGTCCTTTTTATATATCCAATGAAATAATATAATATTATTGATTTATTCTGTCCCTTTTGACACTAATGTGATTGAGAAGATTCATGAAAAACATGGCAAATATGCTGACCTTGATTTCGTCACGCTTGCATCCCAAGTAACAAGTTGTCGGACTCCCCATTGTTCCCGGTGCCTCAGGGCTTGGTACCTCCCAGTCTGTTGACTGACATTCGAGATACAGCCCTTCTGACAATCTGGGTAATGCAGAAGGCTGTTGTGTTTGGGAATCTTCACATTCTCCGAAAAGTTCGGGATGGGTTTGACTAGGCAACGACTCCTGGTAGAAGTCCCATTCGCTGTCTGGGCTGCGTGTAGAGGGGGCAAGGGCCCTGAGCTGATGATCAGCCAAACCAGCCTGACTGTGCCAGGATCACCCAAACCCTCTTTGCTGCATTTTTTAATTTTCATCTGCACATAAATTTAGTGATATTGTTTTGGTTACTCTCAAAGCGGACTGTTCTTTGTATGACATTAACTGCGTTTATACTGCGGCTCGAACACTGTTTGAACTCCATACATTTTCCAAAGACATTGAACCACAAAAGGGTAGTAAACATATAAATAAATCATAAAGATAAACTGGTTAAAAAAAATTCTATATCAAAGCAGTAAAGATATATCCTGGATTGAGCTTTGCTTAAATTTACGTTCCTCGGGGCAATCAATGTCATAACAACAAAAATCAATTTGGAAAACAAAATACAAGACAACAAAAGAGAAAATTCTAAATCAAATTCTTGATCCTCTGAAGGGAAAGTTAAAGGTTAAAGATAAAAACACTTTTAAAGGCAATTAAATACAACCAATGGCAGTGATGAGAAAAAAGTTCCATGGATTTTACTGAAATTTTGGGTGGTATATACCCGGCTTCTGTAACCACAAGGAACCGTGGGTAGAGGATTTCGATGATAGTGTACACAATAAAATAAGCTCACAGTTGTTGTGTTTCATTACACCTGATTGCCTGAGAAATGTATTAATAACAGTCCATGGCCTGATGGTATTCGAAACCGGTATTGGAAACTGTTCCCATGTGTCCACACACCAAAACTTCACTGTTTTAATCCTCTTGTGGATACAAGGGTGATGTACAATACTTCTCCCAAAGAAAGTTGATGTGATGTATTCCTCCCCTTGATAATTTCCTGTTTGTTTCGACATTATTTGCAGAATAAATTGACAATACCAAATGCTTAAATACGATATGTAAATGTAGCTGCTAAAAGTATGTATTTCCTTTTGAGTCTAATATTCAATGTTAAAATTCATTAGCACAGGTTGATAATTAGCCATTTTATTTTATCTTATAGCGGTAACTGAATATTTTATTTAGCGCAATGGTCATTTTATGTTGTGCCTAAACGCCTTGTCAACATTTATTTTAAATATTCTTATACTTCTCACTGGTCCCCGGTCTGCTTCTCTCTTGATAGAATGTGCCTAGAGGCAACAACCCATACATTGACTGAATGCACACCCTTTTGCCAATACTGCAATTATTGTCTCTGTGCATAAATCTCTGAATTCATGTAGCGGTATTGTCCGCGACCGAGCCAAGTGTCTGTCCGACATGTCAGAAGGGAATATTGCAATGAAGCTAAAATCACAGGGGATCACTTCTGTAAAATGATTCACAAGAAAAGATCATGAAAGTGTAGTCACTGATTGCACAGGTGACATCACATGTGCTAACTGCAACGGGGAGCGCATGTCCTCCTCTAAACAAAATCCAGTCTTTGAAAGAGAATCCAAAATTATAAAGGTCAAATATACCAAGAAATATACCAAGAAATTGGTAAAAGAACATTCACCAACTACTTTAAAATCAAGATCAAGACCATAAACAACGGACAGCTTTCACTGTAGGACCTCTTGGATTTTTTGAATATAATCGGATGCCATTTGGACTCTCAAACGCGCCAGCGACATATCAACACCTTATGGAGCAGTGCCTGGAAGGTCTACATCTTAATATATGTCTTATATATCTTGATGACCTGATAATATTTTCCAGAACCTATGAAGAGCATGTTGAGAGACTACAGCTTGTGTTTCGGAGACTTCAGGAATGTGGCTTAAAACTTGCAGCAAAGA